CTACAACAGGTGACAAAGAACAAGAAAACTAAAAATTCAATTTAACGCTGATTTAACATATAATATTACTCACAGGTTTTGAGAATGTTCACCAAAATGGAAATCAAATAATTTTTAATATGCAATATATTTACACAGCTACAAAGGCATCCGTTTAATGAAAAACTATTACTGTTTAATTTCAGGAAATAAACTAATCTCCCCCTGATTTAAATAAACGAGCTTCACCTTTCTCTTGCTCCCTGAACTGCGGAGCAACTTCGTAGCATGTTTCGTTACATCCATTGCAATAGCTAGAATCATTTAAGAATTCCAGCTGCCAGTAGTTCTAATTAAACTTGCTAGCAATGAAGGGCTGGATTAACGAGAAAGGCTACCTAATAACCCCAAAGAGAGGTAGGAAATTGGTTTATTTCCAGAAATGGCATAAGATTTACTAGGAACCACATTAAGCACAGCCAGTGATATAAAACTAGCTACTTACTACCAGAGTTGCCTTTCATGCTGGTCGTAACTTTAGCTTCTGTCCAGAAGCATCAAAAACACGGCATTCGTTAAAATGTATGCCATGTTGTGTGCGCAGGTGTTTCTACATGTTGGATGTATTTCCTCCCACGGATGTAATTGCCACTTTGCAATGATTGCAAAGCGCGTTGTTGCCATCTTTCTCTTCCTTAAAATGAAGCCAAACTTTTGATTGCTTTACCCGATTGGACGCCATTTTTTTTTTTTTGTGCTTTCCTAGACTTACGCCTGGTCATGTCGTACTTGCTTACTGAATGCCGTGTGCGTAACTTGCGTAAAAAATGTGATGCAAGTCATGCTGCCTGGAATTGCTAAAAGAATCGTTAAGCTAGCTGCCATGGAATCGGAAAACACAGAAATGGTTCTGAACAGGAAACGGTTTTTGATTCCAATCCCTAGTGACCCTACCCTCACAGTTGGTCTTACAGAGCTTCGTACTTCAACAACCTTTCATATTTACTGTTATTTTAGGGATAATTTTCTGTAGAATAAAGGCTGGTTCATACTCAACAACCAGGTTGTCTGCACTACACTATGCGTATTTCCTGTTTGGTACATCACCGTCTTGTTTTGTTTGTATGACCACCTTTGTGGAAAATGACTCGTGAAGATGGACCAGCTAGAAGAGCGAGGTGCGAGAGAACACTGGGAACCATTTTCCACGTGGATCCCCGCTCTTTCGCCCTCATGTCCCTCCGTTGTTGCACAAACTTGCCCCCACTCCCTCACCGCCTTGGCCATATCTGTTCCCCCGGTTGTTTCTTGTTTTTCCTTTTTGGTTTTTGGGGGGGAATAACATAGAGCAGACCATGCTTTAAATTTGGGCATAAATCAAAAATATCTGCGACATACTGCTGCAGGAGTTTAACCAGCCCTGAATGTTTCATCTATACTTTACACACCAATGCTGCAAATTAAAACCTGTTTGTCTTGATGCACTGCATCCTTCTGTAGAGGAAATCCAACACAGAATGCTGCTGATTTTGTGAGGATCGGGTTAAAAATAATTAGCAATCAGAACCAAATCAGAGTAATTCACCCTCAAGTACCTCAACAATGCTAACGTGTCAGTTTCATATTCATTAAAGTAGAATCTGGGTGTGAATCCTGTTAAATGTTCTATTCCAGATGTGATCAGGAGAACAGGAAGCATCCAGGGGTCCAGTGTTTCCCAAACCGGCAGCAGGATTGCAGCTCCACTCTCAGCAATACCTCAAGTCCTTCATGGGGCTCAGAGCAGCAGCGTACAGCTGACCCATCTGAGTTCAAGACAGACGCTCTATAAACTGGGTAAGCTGCAGATTCTCTACAGTCAGCTGTTGCTTGGGAACCTTTAGCTTCTGGGGTCTTTAATTAGGTTTTCTTCTGTCACTTTTCCAACAGAGGCCGACTCGGCAGAACCTCTGAGTGCCTTAAAGTTTGTGGGAGACACCGTCTTCCTCGCCAGCTGCTGTAACGGGAGCGTTTACATGGCAGACACTCGGACGTCCGCCGCTCCTCAGGTTTCAGCTCCACCTTCAGGTGAATCGCTGCAGTGGTGGACGGACGCCTCTGCAGCTCCGCAGTCCTGCTGTAAGGTCCTCAGGCTTTCCTCCTCGGGTCAGGCGGTCGTTTCAGACCTGAGGAACCTGGAAGAACCTGTGTGTACGGCCCGCCTGGATATCCAAATGGCTCCATGCAGACCATGTGATGTCACAGTGTGGTGGGCTCCGGTGCTGGAGGGGTGCTTCTCGGTCTCAGGTCAGTTTCTTCACACATTGTAAATGCTCTGAAATTTACCATCAACTGGAATGTTCTGGTTGGGCTAATTTAATTTTTCTGGTTTGGAAATTTTCATTTCATCTAATCAGTTTTTCCACATTTGGAGATCTTGGGGAAGCATGATTAAACAAACTTAAAACAAACGGAGGTTTTAGTTAATCCCTCAAAATTTGAAGGTAAAATACCTGCAATGACTTTAACTTTTCATTCATATTGGAATGGGATTTTTTCCCTCATAAAAATAATTTTTACTTGCGTCATTCATGGATGATTCGGCATTAAAGAAATCTGCTTTCTGATTCAGGTTTTAAAAAAAAATGAGATTTTTATTCAGAAAAATTAGGAGGAAAAAGCTTGAAATGCAGGTGATATTTAGTCTAATAGCATCTCTGATGTATATTTCTAATGTCACCATGACTTAAGGGATTGAATCATGAAGAACAAGTTTAAATAATGCATCAGAATCAACTTAGTTTTCCGTCTATTATAGAAAGGATGAATTTCTGCTCACTGTGACATTTTACTAAACTCATCTAGAAACACATTTGTTCTGTTCTGGGTTTATGTTAGAACTTTTAAATGAAATTTGGGTTTTAAAGGAGATAGCTACAAGTTTAACTCTTCCAGGCATGGAAGTCGCACATTTACT